TACAACTTATAACAATGAGTGCGAGTGACAGCAGTTCAGACTAATGAGTGCGAGTGGGACGACAATAGAGTGTGAGTTTTAACCCTTAGGTTTCGGATGAGGGTTGAAGTCGCTTTCTATAATAAAACGAGTTTGAATATTTTGTAATATTATTTTATATTTAATAATTCTGTAATAAAACGAGTTGGAATATTTTTAGTAATTTTATTTTTAATAATTATACAATAAAATGAGTTTAAATTAAAAATTTCACGCCGTGCACATGCCGTCGGCAACAGTTGCAAAAAGTCATTTCCAACTAAGGGTTAAAAACTCGAAAAAAAATGCGTCCGCACACAACCTTTCCCTTCAACAAGCGAGCACGCACTGAAAATCCGAACGATTTCAGCAGCCGACGGGACTACCTTGTATAATTGTATCATGGCCACACTCGGTAGGGAATACTCTCTTTATCCCCACCACGCTCTTTCTTAATAAGTTCTCTTCCTATTCTCTCGTTGTTACTTATTTTACTCTTCCTTTATTTCCATATTCGATACACTTGGAGACTTACAAATAGTAATTACAACTGACATTTCAGGGTAATCTCCGACACGGCCTTCCTGACTATAACACGACCTCGTGTTGCTTAGTTCTACATAAAATTGGCCTCAACCTTCATTGCCATAACTTCGCAATAATCATCACTTAGCTTCTTTACTCATACTGCTCTACATAACTCTTCAATATCAATTAGCTTACACTGCTAGTGTCTTCAAACGTTGGTTTGGCGGGATAATCTTTTACGACAATAGAGTACACGCTCTCTTCCGCACAAACCCAACAGTTTGGATATCAATTTTGCATTCCATCAGACATTAACTTAGCAGGATATTCCTTAACACACCGTTTAGAGTACACGCTCTCTTCTGCTCAAGTTCAATCGTCTGGCTACCACTGTACCAAACTCTAGCCAGGCTCTTGCTGCACACTTTGCAACGCTCACACGCACCTTTTGCGTCACGGTCTCTCTGGACCCTCATAGCCTTATATTCCACCAACGAGTGCCTCAATCGGCGATCTCTCGCTTACACTTCCAGTGTCTTCAAATGTTAGTTAGGCGGGATAATCTTTCACGACCATAGAGTACATTCTCTCTTCCGCACAAACCCAACAGTTTGGATATCCATCAGACATTAACTTAGCAGGCTATTCCTTAACACATCAATTAGAGTACACGCTCTCTTCTGCTCAAGTTCAATCGTCTGGCTACCACACACACATACCACAGTACCGGACTCTTGCCGCACCTTAGCGACGCTTCACACAATCATTCAAATTTAGTCCCTGTGTATGGCACCACCTCAACCATCTTAAAATACAGATGTCTTGCTTTGATTTTATGGTACCTACGAGTGCCTCAGTCGGCGATCTCTCGCATTCATCTGCATCAACCTCAACAGGCATCGCAGGCAACTACTTAAAATTTCGCTTACTCGACAAATATCTCAAAACATATCGGCCACCATCAAGCTTTTCTATAATGACAAAGGGTCCTCTTCGGATCCAGCTCTGTTTGGTGCCGTTCTTCATCTTAATTTTCCATCTTCATTCCCTTATCCTTTTCTTTCTTTCCTTTCTCATTCTTAACAGCTCTTCCATTTTAAATTGATCTTGCCTTCAATCTTAGTGCTCTTCCTTTTGCACCATTTTACCGACAGCTCAGCATAACACAACTTTAAACTTTTCTTTGTCTATACTTTTCTCTGTGTCAAGTGGTGGTATCAAGCCCAGAGGATGGGTCCAATTGGCATCTCGTAAGGGCTTGCATTGGTTGCACTACTAACTGTGCAGTTCGCCGCAAGTTGCACCCTGCCAAGAGCATCTTGCCATTACCTCTGATGTCCTGGTATCCAGCCAGATGACTACTTTAGAGCTTTACACATTATACAACATTCAACAATCTTTAAACTTAGTCATTTCCAACAACATTGATAAATCTTACTGAGTCTATTTTTTTTTAACCCAAATACATAACGAATTTATAACTTTGATTAATAATCAACCAACAAAATTTAAGGGACACTACTGGCAGACAACACCACCTCACACCTCTCTGTATTTTTTTTTAAAACCCCTCTTTGTTACTCAATTTAATTTCAATTATCTTTAGTTGTTTATAAACTATATCAATAAATCCTGAAATCAGTCACGTGAATTCTGGACACAAAAATAAATCCACATACTATATTTTAAAATCATACGATTTTAAGTATGGCCACCGATGATGCACTTAATTTCAATTATTTCCGCAATGATTACATTTGCAGTCAGTATAGACTACGAACTCTCATCTGAGCAAATAATGCCAAAAATGTTAGAATAATAGTACGCCAACCAATGTTTCCAATTCATATGAAGGCTACTTGGACTCCACAAGACACATAGTTCTACCAATATACTGCACCAACATAAGGGTCTTCATTAATTAATTAATTATTAGTATTGAAACATATCCACAAGAGCTTACACCTGTCAACTAAATAACGATTACAGGCTCACTTGTAATAGCACTAAAAGACGTTCGTTGTAATTTCTGAAAATCGTAATTTCACGTAAAAGTACTTGAAGTTAAAGAATCGGTTTCCCAATTTGAGAAAATCGAGACACAAATTTTTAAAAAATAAGACGCCAATTCAATAAATGGTCTTACGCCTAATTACACCGATTGAAAGGACAAATTTTTAACGTAAGAATTTTCTAGGAATTGGGTCTGATTTCTCTACCGCGTAGCTCATAGCCCAGACACTGCGTAGTAGGTTTGAGAAACCCATATTTGGCAACGTTAAATGAAAACCCTGGTACAGTCAACATATAATACAATTTTCAGTCCTCGGGAAGCCTAATCTTCCGAGCCTGCCATGACCAACACGTCATCCATGCAAACCATCGCAAACAATTATGCTAAACCCCAAATGCTTTAACAATTTCATCATAAATATAGGAGACGCATTCTTCAGTTCAAGCTGCACTGCTAAAGATTCATATTGACCGTGGTCACAAACGCAGTTCTTTCTATCGAATCTGAAATCAATGGCAAGGGACATCTATCAGATACTGTATTTGTGTGTAGTTCTTTATAATCAATGCACAATCTCTCACTACCATCCTTTTTTTTTTTTATTTATTATTTTTTTGTAACCATTAACATTGGGCAAGCGAAAGGAGAACAACTAGGTCTTATTAATTTGCTTCCAACATTTGCTGAATTTTCTCCCTTACTATTAGCTTCTCGTTCTCACTAAAGCGATACATCGTCTCTGAACCGTTTTATTTATGTTTTATTTATTTACAGTTTGAGTTCTATAAATATCGAATTTGTTACTTTGTAAAGTAACTCCAAAACCACGTTGAAAAATATCTTGTCCAATTATCATGTCATATTTAAGGCAATTTTCATCAACTACGTGAAACAACAATTCAAATTTAAATCCTGAAATTTGTACGGTGGACAGAATTTGCTTATTGCTTTTGACAACATTGTCACCTATGCCTCTCAACACTACCAGATTATGGAATCTCTTTCCGGCAAGGTTCTCGCTGATGCTTTCTTTCACCAACGAGCATTCGGAACCCGAATCGAAGAAAAATGGAAACCGCTCACCAGATTGTATTGCAGTTTCCTTAGGCTGAAGTACCGCACACATGTCCACTCTCTTCTCGATGTTTATATTCGCTGTTGCTGTCCCCTTAGTACACACTGATGCAATGTGACCAATGTTGCCACACCTATAACATCTCACGGCTTGTCTGCTGTTGCTAAGGGCTGTTCTCGTCTCATTTCTTTCCTCTGCTTTTCTCTTGCGGCACTCCATTGCTTTGTGTCCAAGTTTTCCACAACTATGGCATTTTATCGGCGTTTGCGTCTTGAACCTCTTCTTTTCCGGGCCTTGATCCACTCCAGAGTATTCAGATTTTTTTTGCGAACGTATGAGCTTTCAGTTGTTGTTGTAGCTCCGCACGTGTTTTTAGATTTGTTGTAAACACTAATCTCTGCAGTCTGGAATCAATTTGGGATGTATGAGCTAGGACCAACGATACAGCAATTTCTTCGTGCGTCATTCCTTTCCACTTGGTCAAGAGTGATGTAACCAACCGGCTGGAGTACACGGAGAGGCATTCTTCAGGATTTGGGCTTCCCTTCAGCATGTCTAGCAACAATGCTGCAGGCGTCTCGTTGCCTTCGTAGCGTTCCATGAACAATTCCTTAAATTGTGTCCAGCTCATCCCAGGGTAGCAAATTTGCGACAGCCACTGCGATGCGCTACCGTGAAGCGACTTGCTGAGCGTCATTACCAAGGATGCACCTTCTTGCGGATGTTCAGATAAAATCAGGTTCGCCGTTTTGCACCATGCTGCTGCGTCTGCGTCGGCAGCTTCAGGGTCGAAAGATGGTAGCACTGCAGAAACGGCACGTGTGCCAGGCGTCGACGTGGACTGTGCAGCTTTCAAAAGTTCTGCAATCACTTTGCTTTGCGCTTCCAGAAGTGTGCGCCAGCCATTATCCGGGTTGTCTTGTAGGGGTGGTGATCCCACTTCTGATGTCGGGGATGGGGGGTCAATATTGTCAGCCATGGTCGTTTCCTTAAATTTGTACTAAGCGCAGTGAGTCGCAATGACTAAGTAGTTCGTCCGCTTTCCTTCACAGTCTCGCTCGAACTGACTTGCACTTTTCCCTTTCTCTACTTTCTCGTCCTTCTCTACTCGTCATTGCGCCACACTCGGTAGGGAATACTCTCTTTATCCCCACCACGCTCTTTCTTAATAAGTTCTCTTCCTATTCTCTCGTTGTTACTTATTTTACTCTTCCTTTATTTCCATATTCGATACACTTGGAGACTTACAAATAGTAATTACAACTGACATTTCAGGGTAATCTCCGACATATAATTGTCTATTTTTACGCAATACAATTAATACAAATAGGACAAGACGGAAAAAAAATACTTAGAAGTAAGGACTCACCCTGTGCGGTACCGCCGCATGGCATTGCTTCGCGGTATCAAGGATTCGGCACTGATCGTAGATCCTGCTACTTCCTCCAGCTCCTGCCTCTCAAAGCAAAACCTCCGGCACTCAAAGAGCACGTGTTCTGCGTCTTGCACAATGCCAGATCCGCACTCCGGGCACCAATGCTCCGTCTCGTGGCCGAAACGCTTTACATACTGGCGAAAGCATCCGTGGCCGCTTAGCACCTGGCTCAGGTAGAAGTTGACCTGCCCATGCGTTCTCTCTACCCATCGCGCTATGTCCCATTGAGACTGCCAGTTTTCCATACTCCTCCTTCTGGCGGCAGCCTTGAGCTCTGCTCTAGACGGCAGTGCCCTCCTGTCCTGCATGGCTACGAAGATCTCCTTCCTCTCCCGGATGAGCACGCTAGCAGTCTCCACCGCTTTCCGGCTCGAGATAAGGACAGCTTCCGTCTTGTGCGCCGCCAACTCCAGACCTGCAACCGCTAGCCACGACTCTACGGCCTCCACAGTTGCTAGCTCCTTTGCTACCACCACGATAGCGACGTCGTCCTCAAATCCATCGGAAGCCTCAGTACGCCGTCGTACATTGCGTTCTATAGGAGCGGTCCCAGGACGGAGCCCTGCGGGACACCCGCTGAGACGTTGCACTCTCTGGGACCCATGCTCGTGTCCATCAGGAGGACCCTGTTGCTGAAGTAGCTGTGGGCTACGTTCAACAGGTACCCAGGAATGTTAAAGTTCCTCAGGAACTCTAACGTTCGGTTCCAGTCTGCCGAGTTAAAGGCATTCCTGATGTCCAGGGTGACCAACAGGCCTTTCCACCTGGTTCCGGCAATTGCATCCTGCGCCACGTTGACTACCCTCGTGATGGCGTCCAGCGTAGACTTCCCCTTCGTGAAGCCATATTGCTCCGGGGATAGTCCACCAGCGACTTCGATGGCTTGGCTCAGTCGGGCTGAGATCACCCTTTCGAAGACCTTGCCAATCGTGTCCAACAGACAGATCGGTCTGTAGGACGATGCTTCTCCTGGTGGCTTGCCAGGCTTGGACAGCAGCAGCAGCCGTTGCCTTTTCCATCTGTCGGGGAACGTCCCTTCCAGAAGGCACTTGTTAAACAGGCACGCAACTTCGGTCGCCAGCAGCGATAGAGTCAACTTGGTTGCTCTACTCAGGGCCGCTTTGCCAGAGAGGTCAGTGGCCCAGTCGCGGTTGCTACCAACCCTGTAGGGTTCCCTCAGGACTGCCACCTCCGAGCCAAGCTCCCACACCGTCTGCGACAGGAGATCCTGCGCAGCCCTGCAGTGATTTAGATTGAGTTGAATCAACTACATGGAGGCCGAGGATTCCCCTTTCCACTGTCTGAGACTGAGCACACCCCGTTCGCCTGCCTTATGCCTCGTCTCCTTCCTTCCAGCTGCAGAGCATATGAAGCATGACGGCTCCTTGTTGCACGAAGCCGCCTTGTGTCCCGGCTCGCCGCAATTAATGCAGCATCCGCTCCTGTCTACAGGGCCCTTGCAGTGGATCGCAATATGCCCTGGTTCTAGGCATCTGAAGCACCTCACGGGACCAAGTCGTTCCCGGATCCTGCAGATGGACCATCCAATCCGAACTTCACCATGATGGAGGACGGCTTTGGCAAGGGATACGGGAAGGCTGACTATTGCAGTTTGGGTTTCTGCAAAGCTGCGGCGCATACTCCGCACTTTCACTCTCTCCGCCTCGAAATTAAATTGCCCCGCGAGGGCGGCGCAAACCTCCTGCTTCGTCGCGATCGGGTCGATATTGCGCACCTCCAAGACGAGGACTTTTGAGTCCTCAGTCGTTGCGCGCACCGACGCTGAATCTCCGAGCACCTTCTCGAGCCGTGGCGCTCTCGGCGCTCCCTTTCACCAGGAGCAGGTTGCCGTTGTTGGTTCGGCCAGGAACCAGGTCCCAGGTCCGACAGCTGCTTGTCATCTCTCCTCGTCACCATTGCGAGCACCTTGCTGTAGGACTTGCCGCTCGCGTGAACAATGACAGCGTATGGGCGAGTGCGACGCGCTGTTCTCGGCTTCCTCGCCACTACCTCCCAGTCGTTTTCGGGGTTTGCCTGGCTCTCAGGCTTCCGAGATGACCTATGCTGCTTCGATGCATCACAGCCGCTGACGGCTTCGCACGGGGCTTTTTTGGCGCCTTTGCGCTTTTCTGCTGCGCTAGACGAGGGAGTTGCGGGGCCAGCACCGGTGCGGGTAATCCCGGCGCATCTGGCTAGCTTAGCCTTCTCCAGTGTTCGGTTTGGACCGATGCCTCCCTTTTCCAGGCGGACATCGTTTGCTGCTTCTTGTCCGCGCTCTGGGTGATCTGGGCGCATTTTCGACACAGGCTATCCGCGAGTCGGCTCTCCTGCCTGTTGCTGACACCTGCCGCGGCCGTTCTGCAGTGCAGGGACTTCACTCTGGCAATCATCTCTGTCAAGGACATGGTGATGTGACGCGTCGTTTTGTCCATCATCTTCAATGAAACCTCATGCATCAATTTGCCCATCTTCGGGAAATCCTGCTGGCAAGCTGCCTCTACTGATGTCTTGCATTTCGTGGCCGGCGTAGTTCTTTGTGAACCAGCCGGGCTTGCAGGGTCTCGTGACCTCTTGGGGGGCGGCGTAGAGTCTGAGCTCTGCCCTCCTTGGGTCTTGTGCTGCTGTGGCGATCGGACGAGCTTGCTGCTCCTGCTGAACGCCGCTGCCTCTTCCTCTTCCCTCGATGCACGAAGGGGTTTACCTCCTCCATAGCCAGCTTGTCGGTCAGCGCCCGGCTCCCACGCTGGCCACGGATTTCCTGGCTCTGCATCGGGGGTTATACCGCCCCCACTGTGTCCCCGAAGTCCCTTGTTCGGGACACCGCCTAAGCGGGGAATCGGAAATTGGTCAGTTTCGAGACCTTTTACCGCCTGCCAGCTGCGCGACCTTGCACTACCTCGGGTTGGTAATTAATAAATTAATTAAATAAATAAATAATAAATTAATCAATTAATTAATGTATGGTCATGGTCATGCTTATGGAGGAGTGTGTGGTGGTGCTGATTGCACGTCTTGCATTGGTCACCACTGAGGCAGGTTCCCTCAGAATGTTCGTGGGCCAAACAGTGGGAATTGTAGCGGTTGTCGGGAACCGCGCGGAGCCTCTTATCTGCGCTAAGTCTGAGGAACTGTTGGCATTTCCGGAGCGGGTTTATTCCGTTGCAGATTCGGCAACGGTAGGACTGCGTGCTTTGGGTACGTCTGCTTTCCAAGACAGCAGCACTGCGAATGGGACGGAATTTGTCCACCGAACGGGTTGACGGGATGAATATTCGTGTCGAGAACACAGACACGCTGCTCGTGGCCTCTGTAGACACTGGGCCTGAGAGTACCCATCCGAAAATCTTGGAGCCGCCTAGAAGCACGGACGGAAGAATGTTAGCTATAATCAGGACGTCGATTTCGGAGCTCTCGGAGAACGTTGGATCAGCAAGGGGGACGTCAGGAAGTTCTTTTAGTAGGTCTCGTGGAATCGGATACGAGGGTAGTACCCGGCCAACTGCAGAGCTTGGTGGATTGGGCGGCAACTGTCTCATTGTGCCCGGAAACTCTGGTCTGAACTGGCTTAAATGGTGGGCTAATTTGACTGAACAACCTCTCCGTGATGAAGGTTGCCTCGGAACCAGAGTCGATTAAGGCTCGCGCTTGGAAATCGCGGCCTAGATGGCAAATGGTTATAAGGGCTGCGCCCAGTAGGACGGCTCTTGAGCCGGAAGCGAAGCACACTTGCACATCTGAGTGATCTTGAGAAACTGCTTTCTTCTAATATAGTCGGAGCGACCATCTACATCCATTTCAAGGAAACGCGGACATAGGCGAATAGGATGGTTCTCCCTCGCACCCTCTTGGGGCCGGAGCCACTCTGGCCCCGTAGGAATTCAGCATGCGCACTGGGACGCTCGCAGCTGTCGGTCTTGACGGAAACTGCCCTGAACTGCTAGGCCTGATGTAGTCGATAACTTCTAGAGTGCGATGACGCTCTGTGTATGGATTGCTCCCACATAGAAAGTGTGATTTTGGGAAGCTTTAAAGAAACCATATACACTAGTAGACAATCCCACGCCTCGATTTGAATAGAGGACATCTCTAAGCCTGTCAGGCAACTTTGGACGGCGCCTTGCAGCTCTTTTAGAGCGGCTCCGGACTCTTGGGGGACAGTCTGAATGTTGAAGAGGATTTTCAACTGGCTGTTGACGAGTAACCGCTGATTCTCGAAGCGGTCGGTGAGGCTTTGCCACGCGGAGATGAACCCTTCATTGGTCAGAGGGGCTTTGGATACTATGGCGTGCGCATCGTCTCTTGTTTTGGATAACAAGTGGAACAACTGTGAGACGCGAATTGTGGATATATATCGCAGTGAACAGGTCTCTGAAGATGGGCCACCGAAGATAATCACCAGCGAAAACTTCGGTGTCCACTGGTGGCAATCGACAACTCGTAGACGGGGGTGTGGGCACAAGGACGGAGGCCTGAATGGACTGGGAGGCGGCTTTGTCGATAATTTCCTGCAGCTGGACAACACACCTCGAATATACGGAGTAGCAATAACAGTACTTGGATTCAAGCACAGTTGCGGTGGCTGTACTGTCGGAGGACACTGAAAGTAGATCGGAGCATAGCTCTTCTCCACCTTATCCCACAGGGCCCGGATCTGCTCCCGATGAATTTGGCACATGGCGGGGGAAAATCTATCGGTTTCAGTGTCGGAAACTTGGTCCGTTGTGGGTGATGTCTAGTGCGGATTGAGCCATCTTGGATACCGACCAAGTAAGTCTGGATGAGGGACCGGGGGAAGTGTCGAAGGCCTCCTGAATTTTTTGCATTTGGAATGATTGACAGCCTTTGGCTGTAATTGAGAAGGCCGCGGAAATGCGGACTGAGACCTTTCCAGAATAATTGGAGAGATCGGAGAAAGCTTCTTCTCGTCTCCCGTGGGCATTCTTGAACTCGAATGGGTCGCCGATCAGTTGGTCGCCGCAGAAAAATGGACGAGTCCCGGAATCAATGATTCGAAACGTGACGGAAAAACAGCTCTGGAATGGGATCTAGGGGTCACTTTGGCAAAGTAGGAGAAATAAGAAATGCCAAAAGCAGCAGTACAAAAATCCCAGAAAATACTGCACCCGGAGCGAACACAATGTGCCCGCTTACGGTCACACTACCAGTGGATGCCGCGGGTGAATTCACAAAATAAGGGCTGTGCTCAGGTTCTGAGAGCCTCGGGCGCACAGGAGAAAAATAGTAATATTCGAAGAAGGCGCTGGGCTGGCTCTGAGAGCCTCGGGGCACCACCGAGAAAAATTACGAAAACTCGTGGAGGAGAAAATAACTCGAGTGAGGCGTCGGAAACCAATTTGAAAAAAAAACAGCGAGCGTAGACCGGAATGTCGAGGTCTTTATACAGTGGAACAAAATTTTGTATTTATGTATTTTGGACGAAAAGCTTGTATCTGGCTTTGTTCGGTTCAGAACGGGTAAAACAGAGACCCACGAATGTTCAATTTCTTCCCTTAATAAAAAATGGATAAATTAATTAATAATTTCGAAAATTATTGGCCGCAAATAATTAATTAATTCGGCGCACTTATTACGGTGGAATTAAAACCTTGGCTTTCGTTTGGAAGAACAACGGGCACTAAGTTCAGCCAGCAAAACAACCACAAGAAAAATACGGCCGCTGCAGCGGTTAAATTGAAAAGTTGACAAAAAAAAACACTCGTAGTCGCACCCGAGTGGATTTGTTTGGTTGTAAATGTTTGTTGTTTTGTCGGTATTTTTTTATATATACATATATCGATATTTTAATTAAATTTATTTGAATTTGTATAATTTTTTATTTAATAGTGCAATTTTAGTTCCTGTGTGGGAGGCAGAAAATATATTTGGTACAGTGAAACCTTGGTAACCGCACTGGGGTTGTAAGGGCGTACAGATATTACTGAGGCAGAAAATATATTATATATGTGCATGCACATGTGCATGTGCAAAAAGTTCAAAACTTCAGAAGTTGTATTTATATTAGTTTTTACAAGGCTAATACATTTGCATACTCAATTGTAAACCTCCGAGCGGCTAGGTGCTGCTGCCGGTGACACCTCGGCTGCAGCGCAGCGTATCTGGGGCCCGGCTCGAAGATCTCCTCGGCAACTCCGCGCCGTCTTGGTCCGTGGACCGGGGACACTCGCTGATAAAGCGGCGGCGTGGTCGTGCTGGGACGAGCGGTCTTCTGCCATCGTGGCGGATTCGTCGAGCAGGGGCCGGCATCGGTGGTTGATTCCGGTCTCGTTGGCCATCTGCTCAACCAGATTCGGCGGAAGGTCGCCGAAGCACTCTACGGCTGCTCGCAGCGGGGCCAGTGGCGGTGGCTCCTGGTCCGAGGGTGGCTGCTTCTCCCCGTTGGCAGACGCTTGGGTGGCCTGGGATGGTAGTGGACGCGGCAGTGTAGTAGCCACTCGCAGCGGGACCAATGGCTGACACCTCGGCTGCAGCGCAGCATATCTGGGGCCCGGCCCGATGATCTCCTCGGCAACTCCGCGCCGTCCTGGCTCGGTGAATCCCCGAAGAGGTCGTCCATGGACCGGGGCCACTCGCTGATAAAGCGGCGGCGTGGACGTGCTGGGACGAGCGCTCTTCTGCCATCGTGGCGGATTCGTCGAGCAGGGGCCGGCATCGGTGGTTGATTCCGGTCTCGTTGGCCATCTGCTCAACCAGATTCGGTGGAAGGTCGCCGAAGCACTCTACGGCTGCTCGCAGCGGGGCCAGTGGCGGTGGCTCCTGGTCCGAGGGTGGCTGCTTCTCCCCGTTGGCAGACGCTTGAGTGGCCTGGGATGGTAGTGGACGCGGCAGTGTAGTAGCCACTCGCAGCGGGACCAATGGTGGTGGCCCCTGGTCCGAGGGTGGCTGTTTCTCCTCGTCAG